TTGTGTTTGTGTTTGCGGACGTTAGAACATTAAAGATTAGGGTGCGGAGAGTTGAGTGTGGGCAGTTGGCTGGAGACAGGGAGGTAAATACTTGTAGAGAGGTGTCATTCATGAAGGAACAAACAATGGACAAGTGTACCTCGGCAACAGCCTTTTGTAGGGCATCCTCACTACCGCTTGTTACGTTTTGGTAGGCCTGCGCTGTGGCTCCGACATTGGCACGCTTGAAGTTGCAAGCACGGTCTTCTGGCTTGTATGGGTAGCTCTTTTCAGTATCAATACCTTTGTTGTCAATTACGTATTGGAATGCGTTCTCCTTGATACCTCCATCACAGCCGTCATTGCCTACAGAGAGCAGAAGCAGAACGGTTATCCAATCGTAAACATATCAAGCAATTTCGATTTTAGGTACGTAATGTAGCGGTGCCAAACATGGTTCACGACAACAACAAAAAAACACCTGACTGGAAATTGGGAGTTCGATGTCTCGTCGCAATGACGTCACAGCGTTTCATCGTGTAAAATAAGTCGTGTAAAATAAGAATGATCGTTTCGCCGCAAATTGAATTTGAATACAACTATTTAGCACGTTGCAAGTTTACCCCTGTTCACCAACGGGGAGGTGGGAATAGGACTTTGAGAAGGATGGGTTTATGCAATGATATGACAGTGAAGGTTAAAAATGTGATGTCTCAGGTACAAAATGTTGGTAGTTCTGGAACAGATTTCTTGAGTCGTCCTTAGCCTTGGTGGAAATGTTGTCGATGGACCACTGCAAGTACGAAATGTATTCCTCAATAGTTTTCATTGACACGGTAGTCGCGTTTACGTTTTGTTTCAAGAGCGTTCACAAAATTATCTATCTTCTATCTTCTCTGTAAGTAACTTGTACGGGAATACACTTTGCAGGGAAACGATTTTCAGACTTCGGACAGGTAGTCCTCTCTTGCGTCGTTTGCGGCAAAACTCAATGGAACACAGGAAATTGACCACCTGCGAGAAAAAATGCCAGAGGAGAGAAATATACAAGCCCAAGAGAGATCAGAACAGAAATGAATATTAAATTATGTGTTTCTGCATTATTTTTTTGTTGTTGAATCCGTACGTTTGTGAAAGTGGATAGGGGCTGATGAAATATCCATTCCTCCCTGTAGCATTCAATAGTTGGAGGATGTAATATATAACTGCGCTCTCTTTTATACTTCATATAGCGACTTAAAAACCCCCACCAATGTCGTGAGTATCTAACTGACTTTCAAAAAGGACCATTTTATCTAGTATTGTCTAAGGTCACACTAACTTCTCCTTCCAATACTTCAAACAATATTGAACAAAAAATCACGATTCTGTCTGATCACTTAATGAATTGTCAAAGCTTCATATCAATAGTTGTATTCATGTTTCGGTCTTTACTTTAAAGCATGCAAAATAAGACATATTGTATAGTAATTGACTTCTTTACGTCGAGCTTGTTCTGTCCTCTGATATCGCAAGGTGTCGAGCGGAAATGCGGTTGTTAGTGTAGGCCAGGTGTGATGCTTTTTGGACTGTTAAGTTGTTCTTTTTAAAGGTCTGTTTTATTTAGCCCATCAAATATTTTTTGGTCCAGTTTCTTAGTCTGTATCTTCTTGTGATGTCTAGCGATTTTGTCAGGCATTTCATTTCTCAAGCTGTAATGATATTTCGCAGTGCTTTTTGAGGGTCCAGGTTTGCCACTGGTAGCAGTGTCGGTAAAAAGATTGATCTTATAACTTGGTTCTTAATCTCCATTGGGATATTTTGATGGAAGAAGGTGGGTGCTAGATGATAGGTGACAGAATTTGTCTTTTTTACACTTATTTCAGTTTCTCTGTCCATTTTTCAGATTCATCCAAGGTATTTGAATTCTTGTACTTGTCTCAGTTGTGTGTTGTTCACTTGTGTATATTTAAGAGCGTTTGGTTTCTTGAGACCTTCATTACATCTATCTTTGTTGTGTTCATTTTCGTACATTTTTAGATTTAGTGATGTGTTCCAGTAGGCTTGTCCTTGTCTTAGAGTAACCTATAATATGATCTTTCATAAGACACAAGAAGAAGAAGAAAAAGAAGAAGAAGAAGAAGAAGAAGAAGAAGAAGAAGAAGAAGAAGAAGAAGAA